GTACAGGGACTCGCTCAGAACACACACACACACACACACACACACACACACACACACACCCCAAGATGACACTGAGACTTTAAAGATGCCCATTTATGATGAACCAAAAGAAGGATTCTTGTGTTTCTTTAATTCTAGGCGAGAGCAAATGTAGAGATGAGCCGCTGTTGATTGGATCGCCTTCAGGGAAGGTTCAGCTCAACACACAGGTGACCAGACCACACTAGGACGACGGTCAAAGAAGCTAGGCATTTTAGGGATGACCTTGGAATTTGGAAATCTTAATATAAGATAGCAGAAGATGATACTTTGTAGCATGTTGTCATGGTTTTTAAAGCATTTTTTTAAAAACATGTTTCGGTAGCTGAAGATGGCCAGCATGCCTTTATTTTATTTGTTCATTTTTAGGCGGTGCCGAGGTTCAGACCCAGTGCCTCAGACGTGCAAGGCAAGCTCTCTGCCACCGAGCGACAGCCCCAGCCCCTTCCAAAGCATTTTTGAGTTTGAACGACTTCTCCAGGACAGGGCCAGTTTGCGAGATCTCTCCAGATCTGATCTCGAGCCTCAGGACACTGGAGATGAGCACAGTTCTCACTCCCTGAGAGACCTCGGGCCTGCTGGGCTGCTTCCCCGAGGAGGTGGTGAACGAGGAACTTCTCCACCGTGGTTCCCATGCACGACATCATCACCACGCGGTGGCTCAGAAACCCCCTCTTCCCGGGGGGCAGCCAGTGACCTGGGCCCGACTCCCGCCCCGTCTCCTGGTTTAGGTTGTTTTGCACGAATTTCTCCCTCTGGGCCTTGGGCGGCAGGAACTGTCGGGCAGAGAACCCTTTCCGGCTCTCTGGCTCTCCAGCCTTTCTTGGGTCGGGTGGGTGGGGAAGGACCTGCTCCTGTCCTCTCTTGGCCCAGGCCACCTGCCTCATTGCTGAGCCCTGAGAATGTGAGCGCCTGACCCTGGTGGCCACAGGGCGAAAGAGGCATGCCAGACACCACGCAGCATTCTTGGGAAGTATCGATTCCCAAAGCACAAACCCTCTTCTCCTGGGATTCGGGGGCGCCTCCTCAGGAAGCCCCCCTTCTGCACACAGGAGCTGTAGGAGCCAGGATGCTCTCCAGATGCTGCTGGGGGGCCGTCGCTGCCTGGGGACCGGATCTGGCCTTCCTGATGCTGCACGCGCTCAGTCAGGACGGTCACGCAATTCCGCACTGAGGAGGCTCCCAGGATGCCCTGAGCGGCAGGGGTTAGAGGCCTGCATCCTCCCCGGCCTCCCCACCTTCAGAATCCCCACCTACAGAAACAGCAGCCGCGGAGCGTCAGACCTGAGTTCAGAGAGCCAAGGACACACTGGAGCCGGGCTCCCAGGCGGAGCTCCTGACTCAGCCCTGCCAGCCCTTCATCTCAGGCGGGTCACATTCAGGTTCCGTGACTCAGGCTCCTTTTGGAAAATGAAGATAATAATAGCACTTATTTCACTGAGTGTTAAGAGGATTTTACTGAATCCAGGGAAAATGCCTGATATTCACCTCGCATGCGAGGAATTTCAGCTATGCCTACGAGCTGTCCTGTGATGTCGAGCATGTCTTTAGCCTGCCTGCCCCTCAGTTTCCTCGTCAATGCAATGAGGATAATTATACATGTCCAGAGGCCATGTATAATTATCCTCATTATTGATGCTGCATGTGCCTGCAGAGGAAATCAAGTCCCTGTTTGCTGAAGTCTCCCGAGGCTTAGGAGAGTACCTGACATGCAGTAGTTGCTCAATAAACATTCATTAAATGAAGGAAGATAGGCAGTCCACTTTAATAAAATGATAAATTCTCGTGTGTGTCTGTCTCTCCATCTCAGAGAGGGAGGAATTTAGGTTGTCATGAAAGGGGATTATTGTCCTGGTTTAGTCCTCACTTTCTCTGTGACCACAGGCAAGCAGCTGACCTCTCTGAGTTTGTGTCTTTACCTCTTAAATGGCGAGAGTGGACTGACCTGCATTTCCTGGCAAGCTATGGTCTGTGTTCAGTGCTGTGCCTGGCGCCTCCCAGAGCCAATGCACTATGAAAACCATGACTCTTAACATTTATTGAGCACTTACTGTGTGCCAGGCACTATGCTAAGAGCTTTACTCACTGTTATGGTTTAACTATTAGGTATCCCCCAAAAGCTCATGCGTGAGACGATGCAAGAAGGTTTAGAGGTGACATGACTGGGTTATGATCACCTTGACCCAATCACTGTGGTCTTCCCTGAGGTCGCTGGGTGGTGACCGTAGGCAGGTAGGGAGGGTGTGGCTGGAGGAGGCGGGTCCTTGGGGGCATGTCTTTGTGGTTTCTGTGCTGTGGGTTGAGCTCTCTGATTCCTGGTGCCAGGTCCCCAGTTGCTCTCCTGTGCCAAACACGTCTGCCATGATGCTCTGCCTTATCTCAGGCCCCAAGGAATGGCGTTGGCCACCTAGGGACGGAGACCTCTGAAACCGCATGCCCCAAATAAACCTCTCCTCCTCCCATGGTCTTGTTGGGCCTTTTGGTCATAGCAGAGAAAAAGCTGTGAGACGCTTCCTCCGTAGCCGTGGTCTTGAAGTGGGGCTTAGGAGGAGTCTTGGCAGGCAGAGGCAGAACTGGAGAAGCGAGACCGTACTCACAGCACGCTTCCATAAGACGGAGCAGACGTTATGCCGGTCGAGGAAGGAGTGTGTCCTGGGAGCTTGTCCTGATGGAGAACATGGGCCACCTCCGGCCCTCCATATGCTTTGCCCAGCACAGCTGAGTCTATCCAGCTTAAGTGGAAAGAAGAGTCCTACAGCTTAATGTAAAATCAGATAAATACATTTCTAAAAAAAAAAAAAAACTTGGAAAGCCCTAAAACAACAGAATAACACAGGCCTGGCATGAAAATCCATTGCCCGTCCTGGCCTGGACACTAAGTGGCCAGAGCCCTTAGACAAGTCAGTTTCCCCTCACTGCTAGAACAAGGCGCCTGGACTGGACGACTCCTGAGGCCGTTCAGCTAAGCGATTCTCAGAGAGAGTGACCAACCAACCCCTGCCCCCGTGGAACATTCCCTACAGGTGGACCTGAGGCAAGAGAGGGTTGGCACGGAGCAGGGCCTGAGCGGCCAATCACGATCAGTTCAGATCCTCGTTCTGAGCAGATGCTCCTCCGTTTGTCAGTCCTGACGGGATCCCTGACACCCTAATCCCTGCCAAGTGCTAGACAAACTTACTGGAAAAACTTCTATTCATGCTTCAGAACCCATTGCAAATGACACAGTCATTTGTTCACTCAGTAAAGATTGATTGAGTATCTACAGCAAGCTGGGATTCTTCTAAAGGATGGAGCCGTAAACAACCACCAAACAATTCAGGCCTTCTGTATTGGGATGAGAACAGCTTTTTCTAACCAACCCATCCTTTGCACAGACGTCTACGGTGGCCCTACTGTTTCAACTTACATCAGTGTCCCTACTGGGACTATAAGCTCTATGGTGGCGAGCGCTGTTTGTACCCCCCACTTCCTCCCTAGGTCCCTGGCGTGACACCCGGTAGACAACCGGCACTCAATGCGTTTTTCTTTCCCTGAGAACACAAAGTCCTGGGTGTGTATTGCTCCCCATCACAGACAGCTCGCTGAAATGCACTCAGTCTCGTCTCTGGGCAGGACTCCGGCCAGCACTTTCCTCCTTAGATTCTGAGATGGCGCATTTGATTATTGGCTGGCTCTCTGCCCCTTGCGCATTAGGCCAAGCTACAGGAGGGCAGCGAACCAGGCCTGTCTGGTTTCCTGAGTTAGCAGCAGCCCGGGACACGTGTGTTGAGCACAGAGAGAGAACTCAGAAATGGCAGTTGAAAGAACAGCAGCGGAGTCTGGAGGGCAAAGCAGGTCACACACGGAGACGTGCACTGTGGTCCCTGGTGCCGAACCACCTGGTTGGGGACAGGAAGCCTGGTGGATGTCCATGCTTAGAAGGCACTTACGAACGTGAGGTTGGCCTTCAAATACGGCAACGAGTACTTGAACTTGGACTAACATTTTGCTGAGAGTGACCACGGGCTGCACTCTTGGTTTCGATACGGGTTGGAAAGCAGGCTGTGGAGCCAGTGAGATCGGGGTTCAGATCTCAGTTGTGTGACTTACTGGTGGAGTCTGTGGGGAATTTGCAACACACCTGAACATCACTTTCCTCACTGGGAACATGAGCATTGGCCAGTGCACGGCCAGGGCACGGAGCCTGGCTTTTAGCTGATGCTTCATCAATGTTAGCGCTTATTCTTTTCTATCACTGAAGGAATTCGTTTCCATCCTCACAGGCTCAGGCAGCATTCCTTAGCCTCGGTGGGCACTTCCCTTCTCACAGAGCTCACACCCATCCCCTCTGCGAGGGCCTGTCTTAATGACCAGCCACACAGGCTGACTTCAGCCATGAATCATTTTTGTCCAGTGCTTTTATTAGGCTTGATGCATATCACATCCTATGCAGAGTGCTTTGCAGATTTTAGTTTCTAAATCTCCAGAACAACCCTCTGAAGTCAGCTATCACTGTACAGATGGGGAAACGGAGGCCATCGAGATTACAGAAACTGGCTTAAGGGCAGATAACTTGAAAGTAGTGCTGCCAGGACTCAAACCCAGGAGTTTAGCTCCAGACACGGCATTTGGAGACCCAAGGGCCACGTTGCCTTCAAATGCTAATCCACCATGGGCTGAGCTGGAGCAAGCCCTGCATGCCAAGCTAATGCCCCCCGAGGCTCCTGCCTGCCAGCATTCCACGTTGTTCCCTGGTCCCCATTGCTCCCAGAATGCCACTATTTTGTATGAGCTCAGGGCTTGGTTCTGGGGACAAACTCAGACAAGCAAGACACAGGCTGCTCTCAAGTCCAGTAGGCTGAGAGACTAGGAAGGACACGGGACAGAATCCAAGCAGCCACACATCCCAGGCTGGGCCTCCCCAAGGGGAGCAGACACTGAGGTCCCCTGAGCACAAGGGCCAGAGAAGGGGTGGGACTCACTGGGGATGGTTTCTGGAGCTGGGGTTGCAACGGGGGATTCCAAGTCTGATTGGACGACAGCTCCGAGGCCTGGAGACGAGTGCGAAATTCCCTCTCCCCTTCCATCCCCACAACCTGTGGAACATGGATTGTGTTTTTATTAGCTGATGTCTCAGGAGAGAAATCGAGGCTCGGGAAGTCCCCTGTTTAAGGTCACCTTACTAGTGAGGGATAGGCACTCTACCAGGTCTATTCCAGACTCTGGGAACAGAGGCTTTTGAAAACATGCAGTTAAAACAAGACTGGGGCCGTGGGTGGGCTTGTGGGCCCAGTGCTCACTGAAGATCCGGTACCCTCCCTGGCCATGGGAAAGCTACTGGAATCTTCTCCACCCCAGTTTCCCACCTCCATGGGCCTCTCTGCAGGGCCGTTATCACTTCTGTTGATAAAGAGAGCAGATTTGAAGATGCTCCAGGTCAGAGATGGCAAAGTACAGCTGATGGTTTGAGATGTGCTTTGTGGAGGAGGAAGCTAAGGTTGAGATCAGTTAAGAACATTTCCCGTTTCCAGAGCTAAAACACAGCAGTACCAGGCTCTAAACGCCGGTGGTCTGGATTCAGTACCCACAGTCTTATGCAACACACCCTGCACTGCTTTTGCAGAACAGAGACCTGATAATGGACACTCAGCCCCTAGGTCTGGGAGACATTTGGGAGTGGTGGGGACTTTGGTGAATTGCAGAGTCCGTGATAAAGGAACACACCTGTGACCCTGGGTAAGGCCAATGAAGGTTTGATACCTCAATATTCTCCTCTGTAAAACTGGTATATTAACTATGTCTTCCTCACAGTGTTATCTTTTAGAATGAACTAGTTGATAGGCTTGCACATGGTAAACACCATATAAATGTGAGCTGTTACTATTTGAGAGGTGCCTTCTGCCTACATGGTCACAGCACCCACTTATACCCAGGATGGGGTACTGGACGTACCACTGACCACCAAGTTCTGGTAGCATCTCTGGGCCCTTTTCCTCCTCTCCCACTGGAGCTTGGGGTGGGTGTGGGTTAGACTGAAGGACTGGGGTCCCCAGGCCACGAACTTCACCC